AGGTTGAACCGGGGACCGTGGGCATTGCGCATCACAGTGACGCAATTGTTCCTTACGTAATTTCCAACAAAAAACCATGAATCATTATGTGACAGACCGTTGGTCAGCGTGCTGGCGATCTTGGTGCCCACTTTTTCTCCGCTGGAATTACTTAACAGCTCTTTTTACAGAAGGGGCACTCTGCTAGGGCTTTAGCCGTTCTGGTTGAAGTGTCCGACGTTTATTTTGCAGTTTCGGAAATGTGTCCGTCGAAAGCAGATTCAGGAAACTCTGTACAGCTGGCAATGGATTCCCATTCAAAAGCGATTACGGTATATTGAAGCGATAGCTGAACGAATGTCTGGCGGTAGTATCCCACGCAAAACCGATTTGACTGTGATCAAAAACAAGGTAAGCTTCTTCCGCTGCATTATTGCCAGGATCTCCTAACCGTCGGTGTTGTTGAAGTGTTGAAGTTACTGCGATGAAACAAATACCCGGATCAACGTCTCGTTCTTCCCCATGGATGGCATCTTTCCCAGTTGCTCTGACCAGTGCTGCATTGCGCGGTGGCGGTCAGCTCGTTGGCGTTTCTGACGTTCGTTTCGCCTCCTGAAAACAGTACCAGCTGAATGGTTCTCCCGGCAGAAGCACTTGAGACGAGGCTTTAGCCGCTTCAAAACGTCACTAATACAAGTCCAGAATCATCTAGCTTACCCCAAATTTTGCCAATTCCGAGGAAACGATGAGGTTGATAACTGCCGTTTCTTATTGGCATATAAATTTAGCATTTTCTCGAAGGTTTAGCATATCCTCTTCATGCATTTATATTTTAAATAATCGCAGTTAATCAACACCACAACCGTTTTATCGGTGAAGTTGAGTTATCTTAATGAGCTGAAACATTCCTGTTCTCTGGATTCTTTCTTTTATAAATTTTATTTGATATATATTACTCTAAAATCTTCACTGCAACTATGGAAATGCAAGGATTTTGATTCTTTGTTTCTTCGATCTAATTATTTCAGCTGAGACAGCACAAAAAAAAGATGCTTGATGAGGCAGCGAAATTTGTACAACGTGAGGAACTGCTCAAGAAAATCGAACGTGATTTGAAGTTACTTAATGGTACTTCAAATATTTTCTTACATCTTTCCAACAGTTGCAAAAATAAATGTTAATATCACGAACACCGGGAAATCTCTATGGCGAAGGATATTTCTCCGAACGCTTAACGAATGATATACCGGGTAAACACAAAGTTCCAAAGAACTAAAACTGTCTAGGGTATTGTGTTTGCATGTATGCGTGTGTATGTATGTGTGCGTGCACGTGTGTATGTGTGTGTCTGTGTGTGCGCTTCATTTTGTTCCAGCCTATTTTTGGGCCTAAGAGCCATTAGCCCAAGAAAAAATTGATCAAGTTCAGACTGTTTTCTCTGTATTATAGAATTTGTACAAAGGCATAAATTCCCAGACAATTCCCAACCCTTGACAAATTCCTATGCCACCACGACCAACGTACTTTTGCATTGGAACAGATTGTAAAACGATCAAAAAATTGTAAAACTTTACATAAAACGACCAGTACAGTGAAACGCTTGACATTTTTCAGGAATAACGAATGTGCAGGACTTGATGGCTACGCGAGAGATCGGGCAGACGGAAAATGAATTTCCCTCGGCAAAACAGTAATTCAACCCGAACTGATACAGGATTGTACTACTCGAGTCGACCCGAAAACATTCTCTAGACCCAGAGTTTCCTAAGCAACCAATTCAAAGTCACTGTAAACAAGCCTCACCTGGTGGTCATCCAATAATTCCCAGACGTGTCAGGTCCGGTATTTCCAGGTCCTATTTAACCAACAATTATTTCATCACTGCGTTTCTCTTCGTCACTGATGCAGCTGGCAACTTTTCCATTCTTCTCTATTTTGAGCTTCTCTTTACCCACATAATTCCGAAAAGCCGTTCCAGAGAATCCTTCCATCGTGTTGGCGGTCTTCCCACTGTTCTTTTAATATTACAACGTTAATAAAAAACTTTATCATCTCCCATCCGCTTTTATTAACATTTTATTAAAACAAACGTCAGTCAAGTAAAACAAAAAAAAA